TTTTGAAATGGAATGATTGTCTGGATTTGACTCACGGAAACATTACAACTCTCGTAAAAGCATTTTGCAACCGTAGCACTCTCTCTGTGCAACGCTGCATTTGAGGGATCATTTTAACAGCTTTCTCTCATTTGGGGGGAGCTGCGTGTTGGCAGACGCCACGCCTTTCAGGAACCACCACATATTTTGCTTGCTAACAAAGCATTCTGGTTTCTGAGGGGTTGAACAAAAGAAAGCTTGTCCTAGTATAGGCTGAGAAACTGTTCCCTCTTGCAACTCTCAGTAGCATTAATACCGGCAAAGATTGTTTTTTGACCTAACCCTAACGCAGCAAATAGGAGAATTTGTGTCCTTTCTCTTGGCTGAATATGCCGTGGGTGTCAAATAAGCTGGGGCTTTGAAGGTTAGGTCAGCAATAGGATCCTTCTTAACTGAGAAGGACTAGGTGCAGCAGCTTCGTACGTAGCCTTTCAGCCTGGTCCAGATCTTTTTTGACAACATCTCGGTGAGGGAGGCCTCTGATCTGTCACCTGCAAGGTGGAGGAAGAGGGTTCGGGATGAGGGAATTCAGGCAGGCCATCAGAAGAATGGGAAGAAGGACAATTGTTATAATGACCAAATGCCTTCCAGAATGTTTTGAACGAAATACCAACATGATATTGGCTCCCGTTGTTGAGTTGTGGGCCTGAGTGTGATTGCCGTTGTTGTTCTTGCTTGCTGCCAAAGGAGGACAAAGGATGAACAATGGGAGGTGGAAGGCACATTGGACCAAGTCAGGATTTTAAGATGGTTTGTTGAACAAACCATATTGACTGGTTAGCCCATAACAGTTCTGGCTGGTGCCCTCTTTCTGTCCTCTCCATGAAGGAGCATTCGAGAAGAAGGTGCTTCTGTTTGTAACAAACTGTGGTTAACTATTATATCTGAGCCAAGGATTGCAGACCATTTAACTGTGATCTAAACTAGGGACGGAGAACCAGGTTTTGCCTTCTGCAAAACCCCTTCTTAGAAGCCCAGGCAGGGGCATCCATGAGGTGGGGTGTTCAGAAAGTCAAGATGGCTGCCACCACTGTATGATCAAAGCCCTGCTCCTTTTTATGGGCATCATAGGAGATGGGCGGCTATATAAATTTGATCAGTAAATCGACAAACAAAACGGTTTTGTTTTGTGGATTTTGTTATTAGAGCATTTTAGGCCGGGCTGCCTGTTGATTTAAGATTGTTAGCTGTTTTTATGTCTTTTATAGTTTCGAGCGCTGCCCAGAGTCCACTGGAGTCGGGCGGCCAATAAATTTAAATAAAAAAATAAAAAAATAAATAAAAAAAAGGGTAGGGCTTCTGTCATGCAGTCATGGCTGCCATCTTGACTTTTTTTTTACCCCTCCCCAATGGACAGCCCTGAACCCAAGCTTTTCATGGAAGCCATTTCTTCCTTTTTTGTCTTTTATGATCAGAAAATGGGCCTTTTTCAGGGGTAGACCCTTGACGACCTCCAACCTTTTCATAAGGCTGCGCCAAATATTTTTTAACTTTTCATGGCTGTGGCTTCTCTTGTTTTGTCATTTTATTGCTTATTTTTATATTGTATGCCATGTTTTATGCACGTTTGAATTTTAATGTTTACATTTTTACCGTAAACTGCTTTATGAATTTTGATGCGAAACACGTCTCTTTAATAATAATCATCAAGCCGAGAGAAACCTAGTTTGGGAACAGGGAACTCTAAAACCAAGATTCACCAAGACTTGAAAATTGCACCTCCTGAAAATTTGCTCATCTGTTGCCTTTCACACATGGAAGGTCAGAGAAGAAATTCCCAGGAGCTGGGACTTCGGCTCGTCTTCCACAAGCTCCTTCCACACTACCAGCATTTCCACTTCCCTGATTCTGTGATCCTGTTATAAAGTGATTCTGATTCCAGTAATAAAATATACCTCATGTTGATCAAAGCTGTCTTGACTCTTTTTGGAGACGGTAGTCCAAGCAGGGCTGAAATTCTCTGGAGTTAATTTGCTATATACCAGTTGGAACTGTCTGTTCTAGGGTTCTTGTTCTGGTCCCACGTCTCCCCTCCGCCCCCTCCACCCCGGTTTCAGTGACAGCAAGTGCCTCATAATGGAAATTCTCTGGCCGTGGAAGGGTTTGGGGGTTGAGGGCTCACCTCTTGCCCCTTCCTCACAGGCTGGCTTTTGTGCTTTATTCCTAGCTCGTAGTAAGAGTTGCATAGATTCCCAACAACAAAGAACTGTGCCTGGCGTTAGTTGCAAATGCAATCAACAGTTTCCAGTGTTTTCTTGGTCAGTGGAATAAAAGAAAAGGAGGAACACGTAAGCTACAAACTATGTTTTAGTGTTGTGTGTTAATGTAACTGCAAGGAGAAAGTAAAAAACAAAACAAAACCAGGTTCTGCATCAGATGAATTTCTGGTTGGAAAATGTTGCTAATAGACGGTCTGTCCGTTTTTCCTATTTGAGCAAAACAGGACACAGATTTTAATCCAACTAAATTCAAGGATCTATCTATCAATGCAATAAGCCCTTTCATTCCATATCTTGTTTAAAAATTAATTTTCATTAACTTTCAGACAGTTTGGGAATGTAAGAATTAAAAGACCGCATAGGGAAAGTCATCTGTTAATTGGGTGGTTGACACAGAGAAGCAATTAACTTAATCCATTGACTAACTCAGTGAAACCAGGAGGGAATGAACCAACTTGAGATGTGTCTTCAATGGATGAACTTGATCCTTTTGGAGTTGCCTGAGAAAATTAGCTGAGCAGAAAGTGCTCTCAGAAATAAACTAATTCAGAAATATGGGGGAACACCGGGCAAACGGGATCATTCTTTTTGCTTAGCGCTCAAATGAATTTCTTTCGGTTAGAGAGGCTGGGCAGAATGTATAATTGCAGGATGAGCAGGAAGGGGGTGGGATTTGTGTAAATACAGCAGTATGATTAAGCACAGTCACCCCCTTCCATTTCTTGAAGAAACATTTACGACGTGGGCTTAATGTATGCTGAAATGGCTGTAGAACCAGGGTAAATGTAAGCTAAAATTGTCAAACGGCATGTTGAGCTGTTCTCCCAAAGTGGAGAGAATGAATGAATGAATGAATGAATGAATGAATGAATGAATGAATGAATACACACCACGGGAATGAACACACCTCATCAGGTTGTCTTTTGAAAAATGAGTATTTTGTGATCAGGAA